GGGGCTTAGTTAATAATTATCAGAAGTTACCACTGCTGGTTTCTTCATTGACAGATAAGCCATGGAATGTTAAGATGTTGCTAGCAGGGGAATTAGGTGAGGGCTTTAAGGGAACTTCTTGAGCTATCTGTGATTTTTTATAAATACCTGTTCTCAAGTCTGTGAAAATGAACAAGCAGGGCCTCCCAGCTGGCGCAGGGGTTCAAGTCTCAGCACTGTCAAGTTTCACCAGCCACAGCAGCACGAGTTACATCCTCGGCCAGGGAGCTGCCCACAGGGCGCAGCAGACCTCTCCTGTCTCCCCACTGCTCCCCTCAGCAGTGTATTTCAGTAGATCCGCCTGCTCTGCTCCCCAATCTGTCTCTGGTGAATCCCCTCACCCCTCGCACCTCTGACCTACACCCCAGCTCTTGTATGCATAAATAATAAAAGTAAATTTAAAAATAAAATGAACAATCAAAAGATCTAAATGGACATTTCACCAAAGATAGGTAAATAAAAAGCAGTTGAAAATACTCAATGTTATTAGTCATTAGGGAAATGCAAGTTAAAACCATAGTGAGATACCACTTTGTGCCCACTAGGATGGTTGTGATCAAGTGTTAGCGAGGATGCGGAGGTAAAAATCTCCACTTTGGAAATAGTTGAGCATTTCTTAGAAGTACACCTAACATAGGACCCGTCAGTTTCACTCCCCAAGTATCTGCCAAGAGAGATGAAGACCTGTGATTTGTACATGAATGTTCCAAACATTATCCTTTATTGCCCAACTTAGAAACCATCCATGTGTCCATCAACGGAGAAGTGGATAAAGAGAGCACGCACCCTGGAATACCATCAGCAACCACTTAGTGACCACAGAACGTGGATAAGCCTCAAAACTTTACAAATGAAAGAAACCAGACACAAAAAATTACATATTCCATTTATGTGACATTTCTAGCAAAGATGAAACTATAGACACAGGGAGCACAGGGGTCTCCTGGGCTGGGCAGAGCTTGACCACAATGGGCATGTGCCCTGCGGGGTCGCTGGGCCCGGGCAGTGCTGAGGGACCTTGGAGGGCAGCTAATCGGCCACCGCAGAGGCGGCTCTTGGGGCCCTGCACGGTGCTACCAGCCCCGGGGCCTCCTCTCTGAGTTGGGCTGGAACTGGCCCTCAACATGTTGGTCTCAGAACACCTTTACAGCTCTCCTGAATCACCCATGACCCAGAGTTCTTGTGGATGTCAGTTACATCAGTATTTGCCAGTTTAAAATCTGAAATCGAGACATTCAACTTTCCCAGAATGAAACTTCCGTGAGATGGTGAGATGAGTGATAGTGTGTGACAGCTTTGCAAATCTCTGAGGTCTGGCTCCCCGCAGCTGAGCAGGCCTCTCAGCCTGCCTTTCTAGTTCATGACTTCCAGATCGCACCATGTTACATCTGGAAAAGGCCACCTAATACTGGGGCAGAATGAGGCAAATTTCTTCCTGGTACTGGGTCCTCCCAGGGCCCCAGGTCACCCCTTGAGAACTGTTTCAAAAAGTGGTCATACCCTCTGAGGACCATCACAGCCACGAAGGAGTCTAGCACCTGCAATCTGAACTGCCTGGGGTCCTGCCTCTCTGGACCTGTGGCGTCAGAGCGCACACTGAACACGCTTCCTTGCACACCCAAGTTTGGGGACACTTGGTTGGCAGAGCTCTGGGCGCCCTGCCCACCCGCTTCATTCAGTGGGCAGTCAGCTGCTGGGCAGAGCTGGGATGAAGCTTCGCAGGACCCTGCAGCACTTGTAGGGCTCTGGTTGGCCGGGGTCTCAGTTCACCGTTTCCCCCTTCACACTTTCCCTGCACAAGGAAGGGCTGAGGGCAGCCAGGCACCTGGCCTGGGGCTGTAAAGTGCACGCTGGGCTTGCTTCAAGCAAGCATCTCTGCACCCAGTGAAAGGAAGGGGTGGAGGAAAGCAGGGTGCGGGGAGGGAGGGACCTCTCTTCCCCTCTGGACCGTTGAAACCCCACCCCCACCTTGACCTCTGTGCAGTGAGTCAGCACCGGCCAGGGCCACCATCCAGGTGTATCTCTAGGTGTGAAAGGTCTGGCTGGTACAAAACCGGCAAACGGGAGTCAAAGAAAACGAGCAAGTTGAAAGAAAGGCTGCTTCTGGAAAGCCTCACGCAGGATAAACACTGACACACAAGGCGATGAAATCACAGTCCATTGTGCATCCAGAAACGCCTCACCGCGGGGAACGCGCAGCTTCCAGCCCGTGCACGCCCCGGACCCGGCATTTGCGAACAGGAAAGTTTCTAGAAGCGCGTCTGTCAAAACCAGCATGACAAGGGCCTGGGCTGCGCAAGAGAAGGCCCCGGTCTCCCCGCGGCCACAGGCGCGGGCGCGGGCGCACCCCGGGCCCGGGACGGCGAGGGCCTGCGCCGCCCCCCGCGGGCCCGCCCGGGGACCCCCGGCACAGGCGGCCGGGCGCCCCCCGGGCCCGCGGCGGCACCCGAGCCCACCCTGCCGTGGCCCGGCGGGCCCACCCGCGAGGCGCACGGCCCCGCGACGCGGGCGAGCCCGGCCCAGCCCGCCGGGAGCCCCGCGCCCCGCCCGCCCCGCGCCGCGCCCAAGCCCCGCCGGCCGCGTGGGGTGCTGCGGCCCCTGCCCACCCCGGCGCCGCGCGCCGTCCTCCCCGCCCCCATTCCTCGTCCGCCCAGCCCCCTCGCCTGCCCGCCCCCCCCCCCGTCCACCCGCGCCCCCCGTCCAGCCCGGTCCTCGGGCGCGGCGCCCCGCCCGCGGGGACGAGGCCATCGACGCGCTCGGCGCTCCCCGGCGCCGTCCCCGGGGTGGGCGGGCCCGGCTGCCTCAGGTGGTCTAACAGGCGCTGGGGCGGGCCAATGGCGTGGCGCGCAGGCCCCGCCCCCTCCCTCCGATTGGCTGGCTCCCGAAAGCCGCGGCCGCGCCTCAGGCGCCGGCCCCAGCCGACTCGCCGGGCCGCCCGCCGCGCTCCGCACCCGCTCGCCGCCGCCGCCGCCGCCGCCATGGCCCAGTGAGTGGCGCCGCGGGGCGCGGGCTCCGGCCCCCCGGCCTCGGCGCCCGGCCCGGAGCCCCCCGCCGCTCGCCCCTCAGCCCGGCGCTGGCGAGGCGGCGCTGGCCCCCCGCCCCGGACCCAGCCGGGCGCCCGCGGGGTCGTCGCGGCCTCTCCCGGGGCCCCTCGAGGGCGGGCGCGGGCGCGGGGGCGGCGGGGGAGGCTCCGGAGCCGCCGCGGGAGCCCCAGGGCCGGGCGGGGCGGGGGGGTCCCCTCCCGAGCAGAGGCGGGAACCCGGGCGGGCGGGGGCGCCGCGCCTGACGCCCCTCCCCCCCCCAGAGCCGACGTCGCGCTCATCGGCCTGGCCGTCATGGGCCAGAACCTCGTTCTCAACATGGACGACCACGGCTTCGTGGTGAGTCCCGCCCCGCGCCGGCGCGGGAGGGGGGGCCGCGCGGGTCCAGGACGGCCCGGGGCGGGGGGGGGCGGCCCGGCGCGCCCCACCCGCGGCCGCTGCACCCCTGGGCGCTGCACCCCTGGGCGGCGGGCGGCGGGCTCGGGGCGGCGCGCGGGACCCTCAGTCCTCGGCCCGAGTGAACAGCCAGCGGCGTGCGGGAGAGGCGCTGCGGGGGCTCAGCGCTGACTGGGCTGCCTGTAAGGTTGGACTCGTGACAGCTCCCCGGTAAGTGCTCAGGCGCCTCGATGCCAGGATTACCACGGACAGACTCTCCGGAACCAGCTGCCCCCGGGCGTGGCCGGAGCCCTCACAGCTAGTGACCGGCTGCACCTTGCTGTGCCTGGGCGGTGGGCCTGGCCCCCTGGTCGTCCTCGGCCACGGCCTCCGCCCCGCGCTCTGTGAGGGGAAAATGCCCCAAGCCTTGAACTGCATCGAAATTTCATTGTCACTTTGTCCACCGTTGCAGAGTCTCCTGAGTCCTAGGTCTCCTCATCGGGCCTTTGTCCTTCTAGGTCTGTGCCTTCAACAGGACGGTCTCCAAAGTTGATGATTTCTTGGCCAATGAGGCCAAGGGAACCAAGGTGGTTGGCGCGCACTCCCTGGAGGAGATGGTCTCCAAGCTGAAGAGGCCCCGGCGGGTCATTCTTCTCGTGAAGGCTGGCCAAGCCGTGGATGATTTCATTGAAAAATTGGTGAGGCCGGCTCTGCTCCCAGCTGTTCGCGGCGTGACAGAACTTTTCTTCTTCCTTCTTTTAGCTGTTTCACTTGAGACTACTTTTTCCCCTTTGGTTTCTAGATGTGGAAACGACTCAGTTCTGACTAAACAATTACTTAAATGTCTCCGTGTTGGTTAACTTGATTGGCACTAATTAAATAACAACATATCCTCAGGTGGTAAAACTCCTCGTGCATATAATAGTTTGAGGACAGAAGGAGACATATCAGTAAGAATTCATTAACAGGAACAGAAACAGTGATCGTTGTAGACTCTTTGTTTAGAAATCTATAGTTTTGATTGTGTATTTTGAATGTTTAGTGATATTTATTAATGAACCTCGGTGTCCAAATTTAGAAGTGGATCTCTCTTAGTATTCCTAGAAAGCAACAATTTGAAATTAGTATAACTCAGTGTAAATGACAAGAGACCTCCTAAGGGGTTCCTAGGAACTACAAACTGGGTACTTTTTTTTTTGTACTGAACAGTTTGTTGGCTTTAACATGTATATCTATTTTGGAAGGGAAAAAAGTACATATGGGCTTGTGAGGGCCTTGCTGGGCGGGTGGGTGAGCGGTGCTGAGTTCCCCCAAGGTCCTCTGAGAAGCAGACCTCAGTTGCAGTTCACCCTGAGAGTCAACTGGGTGCGGGGCAGGGAGGAAAGGTCGTGCTCCGAGTAGGAGCTAATTCTGGTTCTTTCACACACTGATCCAGAACTGAGTCTCACCCTCATTTAGGGGTTCCACCACCACGCGGGTCAGGAGCTCGTGGGTCCCTTCCTGTTGTAGTCTCATCGCCAGTCTGTCTCCTCACAGTCCCTGGCTTGTTCTCACCAAAGGATGCTCCCCAGTGGGCTGACTGGGGTCAGGAGCAGCCAGTGGACGGGGACAACCAACTGCCCTTGTATCCAGGGGCTGTGCCCAGCAGCTCTGTGGCCTCAGGGTGCTTTCCACTGAAAAAAAGGAAAGAAGAAAATACATCTGGATGAAGGGGGTCCCTTCATAGAAATAGAAATTATTTAGATACCCCAAAACACAATTCTGTAGTATTAGCTGTGAAAAAAACAAGATATTACCCATTTGGAAGACTTGTTTGAAGGTTTTGTGACGATAAACAAAAAGGACTAACATTCCTTTTCTAAAGGAGTAGTGTTGGCATTGTTTCTATGTTGAGAGGAACTTATACCCAGTGTGCTTCCATTTCTTTCAAAAATGACCTAGAAAGGAAGAACATTGCGATAAAGAAAGAACATACTAAGCTTTTTATATAGCAAGATGCCAAGCTGCCCATGATCAGCTATAGACTGAATGGTCTGGAAAAATAGCAGATTGTTCTTTAACGTAGGAAAATATTAAGTAATGTTAACTAGAGCCTCGTGGGGGGAGTGGTGGTGAATAATGAACAGTAAAGCCAGCCTTGGTGGCAGCCCACAGGAAGATACTCTTGTTCAAGACCCAGTCTCCTCCTGCCATCTCCAAACAGTGGCGATCAAGTTGTTCATTTTCACACTAGACTGTTTGATGTGTATTTACAGGCCCCATCTCTGTCCTAGGCCAGATTTCACAGGATGTAATTCATCTTCTAGGGCCAGTCCTATTCTCAGTGCTGGGGCATATAAACCAGACAGGTGGCACACGCTGGAAATAAAAAACTTTCCAACTAGTAGTTAAAGAGAATTATCTCAGTTGTGGAGAATTTTGATGCTAAGCTTTTAAATAAGGTCCAGCTCTCAGAGAAATTATCTCTGCTTTTAGACTGGGTTTACTTGGGATAAATTCTAGTTTGTATCGGCACATTCTGCTTTTTCCATTTCTGTGTTCGCCCTTAATGCCCGCGTCTGGTTACAGGTGCCATTGTTGGACACCGGTGACATCATCATCGATGGGGGCAATTCTGAATACAGGGACACCATAGTAAGTATTCTGTAGCCCAGATTATCCCAGGTTCTGAGGACCTTCTAGACAAAAGTGTCATCGTACACATATGACCAGAGTGGACTGCCCTTGTGCGGTGCTGACTCTTTGGGTTGGTACTGATGCAGGGGTTCCCAGCTTTGCTTCTGCCGAGACGGACGTGATGGACGAGGGTCTCATCAGTCACACGCGTAACAACAGAATGGCGACTGCTTAGGTCCAGCGGGCAGGGAGTCTGTGCCTTACCTTCCTTCCTCTGCCGCCAGTCCACGGTGGTCACCGTGGTCATGGGCGAGGGCCAGCTCTTTGCCAGCCTCGTACTGGGAGGGGTCCCTGAGTGCCAGGGAGTCCTTCTCGACCTAAACCTGCTCTTAGCTGAGTCCTCTTGCTCACGGTCTCTCCTGGTAAAATGAGAACATGCGGTTGGCTTTGTTTATCCCTCTAGGGGCGGGGCAGTTAGCACGCACACCCATGACATTTTTTGACTCCCCAGATGTGAGGGGATTAAATTCCTGGAACGATCAGTTTGTTCCTGGGTCCTTGGTCTTATGCCTCCTCTTGTTGACCGGGAGTCACTTCGTAATGGATTCATTTGTTCTCACGTAGAGACGGTGTCGAGACCTCAAGGCCAAGGGGATCTTATTTGTGGGGAGCGGCGTTAGTGGTGGAGAGGATGGGGCCCGCTATGGCCCATCACTCATGCCAGGAGGGAACAAAGAAGCTTGGTGAGTACCCCCGTTTTGGAATGGGGAGCCTGAACTTTGAGGGAATGAGGGAGCCATGAGCAGCTCTGCCCCCCTCTCTGTGGGGCCTGAATATTGGAGACAGGGGAGGTTGGAGGGGTTTCTGTTATCTGTGTTTTTCTACTTTGACGTGATACTATGCTTACTGCTCTATTGCTGTTACTCATCTGTGATTCTCTCTGAGACTGACAGCAGCGTCTCTAAATAGGCTTAGCGGTCAGGTCAGGACTTTAAAGAAGCAGTTCAGATAATGTCCTTGCACTGTCTGGACTTTGGGTTAAGGCCTGCCTCTAAAAATTGCTATTTATGTGATAATTGTGAGTAATGAACAACTCTGACTGGGCCTGTTTTGTCCCTGAGAAAGAGGTGAAGAATTTTTATTTGACTCGTTAAAAAACTGATTTTATATGATATGTTCCCCGTGCTCTCTCCTAGAGGAGGCTACCACAGGGTTGGGGCGGGGGGGTGCTTTGGTGATGTGAGAAGGGTATGTGAGGCGGGCGGTGGGCGGTACAGAATCAACATGAAAAGATGCAAGTAATTGATTATACACAACTTAGACTGAGGGGGACTCCGCGCTGAGACTGCAGAGAAAGCCAGATAGAGAGATGGAGCGGAAGAGAAAGAAATAGAAAAGAAAGAATCCTTTTGAGGGAGACATGGAAAGGTAACATTCTTTTCTGAATGACTTTGATTTCCAACTATTCTAGAATTATATTAGGTATTACAGTAAGGAGTGACCGAGTCTAATTCCCACAGACAAAGGGCTCTCTGGGGAAGACTATTCTCTAAATTTTCTCCTTGATGAACGTGCCTGGGGTTCTCCGTGTGTTAAAACTCGAAGTAGCAGCCTTCCTGCTTCTCCAAAGCTTAACAGTACTTATCTTGAGTGGGCTGAAACATTTGACACACAGCTGCTCTGGTTGTTCATGAATTCGCTTCTTCCCACACTGACCTGGCCCAAGAAGAAATGCACTTTTGCCTGAAGCAGTCAGCAAAATCTGCATGAGGTTCAAAAGCCTGAGGTGACGCTGTTTCACCCTCATCCTGGACATTAGCTTTGCAACCCTGTCAGATTTTGTGTCCTTACCAAAAACTTCGTGAAGAAGGTTTGATCAGTCAGCAGTGGGAGGACATTGGGAAAAGGCTCAAGAGTTTCCCTGTCCTAGGGGGGCCGTGACAAAGAGCAGAAGCTTTTTCTCACGATGAGAGGGAATGTAGCGCTCAGAAATGCCCCTGGTCTGCCCACCTGCTCACCTCATCATCACACTCACCCAGACTAACCCCTGGGGTGTGCACCCCAACTTCCACATTGTTTGGGATCACAGCTTCAGGGAGAGTGCAGTAGATGTTTTTATGGCTTTGATGACACATCTGCTCGGCCTTTGTGTCTGTCTGCTCACGCTGCCTCTGCTTTGGGGCCCAGCAGGCTGGAGGGGCAGCTGGTCAGTCAGTGGGGGCTGCAGTTTATTTTGGGGGCTTGGCATGTTCACCACTTCATCTTGAGCACTTCTTGCTATCACTAGAAAGGGAAAAAATTGGGGTGGGGCCATTGAGTTTTTAATCGAGAGTTCAGCCCCTTTCCTTTAGCAGCTAAACTCCACGGTTCCTTCCCACAGGCCCCACATCAAGAACATCTTTCAAGGCATCGCTGCAAAAGTAGGAACTGGAGAACCCTGCTGTGACTGGGCAAGTTCTGGGCTGCTCTTGGGAGCCAGCTGGCCGCGTGAACAGAGACCGAATGCAGGGAGCTAGGACCACCCGTTTCCTGGCTGTTTGCTTTGTGACATAAGCTTCTTGACCTCTCGGTGGATAGCACAGCTGGTGCCTAAAATACACACCCGCTGTCCTGTCCTGGCAGCTGAACTGAGTGTCCATAGCCTTGATTCGCGGTTAAAGTAGCCCTCCTGAGTTCAGCTGAGACAGATTCCTTAACAACGAGCAGGAAGGAAGAGGGAAAGTTAGATTTCTTTTAGCCATGCTCTTGATGGCCAAAGAGAGAATGTCTGAACTGAAGTGCGGAAGGGGGCTGCCTGGCTGTTGCTCTGTCGATGTCTTGGCCGTGGGCGTGGGACTCTCCTGCCCTGCAGCTTGGGATGTCGGCCTTCAGTGCCGAGCGGGAATATGGCGGCCTTTCACTCCCACCGACCGTGACGGAGGCCGGGGCTGAGTCACAGATGTCTCCCTTTCCTGTATTTTGTGCTGTTACAGATAAGTTTTCTCACTCACTGCAGCCTCGGCCCTTACATGGACAGCACAGCAGGCTGGGGAGACCCTGTGACGTTAGACCAGTCACTCTTCATAGGGGGGTGGGTCTGGATGGTCTCCACGAGCTCTTTAGCTCCTACTCCCCTTTAATTTTATAAGAGCACTTCATCTGCTGTTTTTATCGTATAACTTTCATAAGAGACAAGGGGTAGAGATGAGACTGAGACTGAGGCAGGTGAGGTTAGGGGGAGCCCTCCCTCTGGGGACATGAGCTGCAGCAACTAAAATGGCCCTTCCCGTTTTGACCAGCACCCTCTTGGGCCCATCACATCTGCCCCAGGCAGAGGGCCACTGCCGGGGTCTCGGAGGTGGAGTCATTCGCTCATCTGTGCGGGGCCGGGAGGGCCTGCCATTCCTGGCCGGAGATGCTCTGGGAGCAGCGGCAGTGACTTCTTTCAGATGCACTTAGGGCAGAGCCGCGGAGTCCTTGCTCTTGTGTGTCTTGATGGAGTTGGGGTGGATTCCCCCAGGGCCTCGGCTCAGGTTATTGAGTAGATAGTGAGAGCAGGCACTCCCGGGTCACTGTTGAAGTTACAGGAAGGACGGGGTGAAGTAAGAAGTGGTGGGCCCTGTTACTTCATGGCCCAAGAAAGTGTCAAAATCAGAAGGTAGGGGGGTAGGTTAGCAGTGACTGCGTAGGCCAGGAAGCCTCTGGTGTCAAGGTCAGAACTCATCTCAGGGTGACCACCCGGAGAGAGGCTTCCAGGTCATCAGGGAGATGGCCCCTGTCACCCCCTGTTCTGACTCCTTGCCCAAAACCATTTTCAGCTCATTTTGACGCCCAAGGAGGTTGTCTATAGGGCAGGGACGCGTAGCTCAGACTACACTTGTTATCATTGAAGCCCAGCATTAGCTTCCCCACGTACGTCCATAAACTGCTTTCTGAGCGTGTACGTCTGCCGGCTCTGTTGTCAGAGTCCCTTCAACTGGGGACACCAACAGGCACACACCTCTGGGCTTACGGGGTCAGGACCAGACCCAGGGTCTGAGCCGTTTCAGCTTCAGAAGTGTCACGCAGCTACAGTGCATTTGTACTTTTCAGAAGCACAAGTGGCTTTAATTGGGCAGCAAAGCATGTTGCTAGAGTAACTGGGAAAAAGAAAACTTCTCTTCCTTGGGGGTGAGTCGGGGGAGGGAAGCTGCTTTTGATAACAGCGAGAAAGAATGGAAACTGGGGGCCATAGGACTCAGGTGAATGTGGGGATCTGAAAACTCCAGGGGAGTGATTTTGGAATCCATTTTAAATGACACTGGATCAGGCTGGAACTTGTGTTACATTGTTACATTGTGGTTTTTAAGATACTCTAACTATTCCCCATTAGCTATTTTTTGGTGAGGAGGGAATTAGCTGTGGGCCTCCCTGGCTATCTCTGCCTCTCTGAAGGCCTCCTGGCGGGTGTGGCTCTGCAGGTGGGCGAGGAGGGAGCGGGGCACTTCGTGAAGATGGTGCACAATGGGATCGAGTACGGCGACATGCAGCTCATCTGCGAGGCCTACCACCTGATGAAGGACGTGCTGGGCATGGAGCACAGCGAGATGGCGCAGGTGAGCCGGCACCGCCTCACTGCTGGCAGGAGGCCGGGAGCCCTTCCTTTTCCTCATTCCTCTTCCCTGGGTCACTCGGCAGCCTAGTGGACTCGCCTTAATTTCAGGGAAGCCTGCAGTAATAGGGCTGTAAACTCCAATGGTGGCCACTCTGCCAGACATCCGGGACCGAGTTAGCCAGGGGCCGTTTACTGTCAAAGTGTTTAACATACAGCGTCATGGAAGGAATTTGACAGTGAACACCCACCTGCTCACTTCCTGGATTCTGCTTAGCATTTCACTGCCCTTGCTTTAGCGAATATCCATCTGTCTGTCCATGTGGCATTTTTATTTTTTTACACATTGCAGCGTCCACTGCAGGCATCAGCACTCTGCCCCCTAAACACTTCCACATCAACAGGTAAACATTCATTTTAATTGCAACTCTAGGAGGACACTCACTCACAAACATGTCACGTGCAGCCAGTGCTGATTCAAGTGTGGCTCTCTGGTGAGCATTCTGGTCATCTGGAATCTCTAGTTCTGGTCATTTCAGGTGGAACATGATTCATTTATTTTTTGAAGATATTTATTTATGCATACAAGAACTGGGGTACAGGCCAGAGGTGTGGGAGGTGAGAGTTTTCACCAGGGACAAAGTGGGGAACAGAACAGGCAGACTGACTGAAGTACACTGCTGAGGGGAGCAGTGCAGAGACAGGAGAGGTCTGCTGCGCCATGTGGGTAGCTCCCTGGCCGGGGATCAAACTCGTGCTGCAGTGACTACGGATAGCTTCATAGGTTGCGTCTTAACCCCTTGTGCTACCAGGGAGGCCCTCAGGTGGAACATGAATTAAAGACTCTTACCCTAAAGCTTCAACTGCGTAGAATCCTTCAGATTTTTCAGTTTTCAATTTTCTTATTTAAAAATGTGTGTCATTCCCACTGGCTTTGTTTCACTGATTTGCCCTTAATTTTCCAAAGCAATGTAATGTAGTTTCCATAGGAAAGATCCTTTTCTTCTGTGTTCCTGGTCGTTGGTGCCCGTGGTAGTGGGGGTGTTCACCCCACACGCACGTGGCCACAGTTCTCCCAGCCCCAGAGTTGTACTGCCAGGGATGGAGGCCGGGAAGAGAACCAGGTTCCTTGGAGCTGGAGGAAGTAACAGTTAGATACAGTCTGTGGCTGACGAGTGAGGACTCTTGTGAAGAAAGCAGGCTGGGGCAGGCCTTCACTGAGGGGTGATCGGAGCAGGCCTGGGGGTGGCAGCGTCCGAAGAGGCAGGTGAAGGGCTCGCTGCTCCGAGGACAGCTCGGTTCTGGTAGCAGGGACCTGGCACAGCCAGGATTTGAACACAGCTGACTTGTGGTTAGCTTAGAGCTCAGCTGGTGGGAGCGGATGCCAGGGCCAGAGGAAAGCCCCTTAGCCCTAAGTGGCAGCGCCGGTTCCTATTTCCCCGGAAAGAACCAATGAGCGTGCCCTCCGGTCTAATCCTGGTTTCCCTCCGGTCCTTCTCACATGCAGGCATTTGAGGAGTGGAACAAGACAGAGCTAGACTCTTTCCTGATCGAAATCACCGCCAACATCCTCAAGTTCCGAGACAGCGACGGCACACACTTGCTGCCCAAGATCCGGGACAGCGCGGGGCAGAAGGGCACCGGGAAGTGGACGGCCATCTCGGCCCTGGAGTACGGGGTTCCTGTCACCCTCATCGGTAATGTTCTCTCCTCACGAGCCCCCTCGTCTCGCAACTTTAATCGCAGGGTCCTCTGCAACACTGGCCCAGGCTGGCAGCTAAGACCCCGCTCTTTCGGAGAGCCGGTTTCCCATGCTGGTCTGCTCTCTGCGGGACCAGAGGGTTCGTGCGTGAACCCGCTTTGAGTGTAGAAGGGCTGACACCCCTCAGAGCTCTTCTGACACCTCAGCATCAAATGACACAGAGTGAAGTAATAAGCGCAGAAGTAAAAAAACTTAAAAAAACATTTAAAAGGAGCACTAGCAAAGCCACGAGTTGGGTCTTGAAGTATAAAATGGATACACTTCTGACAGAAATCAAAAAGGAAAAGGAAGAAGGTTGCCTGGCATGTTACAGGAACACTCCTCTCTGCTCCTGGAGACTGGGCCCCTGTAGAAGCCGGAAGCTTCCTGTCCGCTCCTCCAGGCACAGGTGGCCCTCTCTTCCCTGGTCTCCTCCCTCCTGAGATTTCCTGATTCATTGCGTGCTGCTGTTTACAGAGAACCGTGTGGTCGAGAGCCCTGGAGGATGACAGGGAAGTCGTTTGCTCAGTGCAGGCCCAGATAGAAGGAAGTTGGCAGCTGTGTAGCTGATCTGAGTGGCCCCTGGGACTCCAGGGAGCAGTTTAGTCACCACTGGCCCCAGCTGAAGGGCTCATGGTCTCAGAATCCCACACTTAGAGACGACATAACCTTTCTCCCTGGCGTTGGGAGGCTCCTCCCTGGCTGGGTGCCAGGTTGCTTGCACTTATGAGGAAGCAAGTCCGACTTCCAGCTAAGCCCGAGGTGACACCCAGGGTTTCGCCACACCCGCCTCCTTGCGCAGCCAGCTCAGCTTCCGCCCGCAAGTGCAGAGTCACGGTGATGTGACTGGCCGGCTGGGCGCT